GCTTGGTGTTTTATTGCTAAAACAAACATGCGAAATCTGCAGGTTCTGCAAAGCAGAACGTTGCGCACTATTGCTGACGCCCCATGGCACTAACGTCGATGTCCCTTACCTAAAGAACTACATTAAGCAACAGGCGCAGCGGCGCTATCGCACAGCAACGCTGTGTTGCGTGAGTCAGTGGACTACACAGTCGAGCAAGTTCGCAAGCACAAAAGCCCGCGGCTCGCACTGTAATCAAAATTAATTCGTGAACTTAGAACAACCAAAATTGGAGCATTTTGACAAAATCTTTAGAAATAATCGAATATTTTTAGACCATATCAAAATATGTGAAGTGATTTTAACAATGCCTAAACGCTGCCTATCCTAAAAGATTCTCTTCTTTCCCTTTGCTCTCGTTCTTCCTTCTCTCCTTTCCTTCCCTTTTTTCCTTAAAATTGTCTGGTTTCTGGCTTACCAGACCTGACAGACTTACAAACTGAGACTGTGACTCAAGAGCTAAGGTCCCACGGACCGCTCTGACAACCAACGGTGAATTGACTTGACCGTAGAATTATATTGGAAGATGGAGAAACAACAACACTGAAAACTATTTATGGCGGTGTACTACGAGGTTCAATTATCGGGCCCACTCCATGAAAGCACCTTTAGAACGGTGTGCATACATAAGAATGTGGCAACATTAGCATATTGTGATGATCTGCGAGGTCTGTAACTTAAGTGATGAGACTAAAAACGTAGCGTTTGTTCTCGCAACACTGGGAGCGCCGGGCTTGGAAGGGAGGCAGGGAAACATGTGATCCGTATTCAGTACAAGTTTTGAACGCGCTCGAGTCGTTTGTTTGTCCGAAGCATTTTTTGTGTAACAGTTTTTCCTATTGTGTTCTAAAATGAGGGAAACGGTGTGCTAGCAGGTTTTGCTTCAGATCTAGTCACAGTACAACAGAAACTCTTACTAAACTTCAGCAGGCCGATGGCAACAGTGTTTTGACAGAGCTCAGGTTTTATAACTATCTTTTATCATCACCATAGATTGTTTTCTCTGCATATCTGTATGCATGCAAATATGACAAGTCTTGTATCTCGTCAACTGATCTACAAGGCAATAAGTATCTACATATCTTTGTATTTGCAGTCACCGCAAATCGTTCTCATAAATCCTTAGTTTTTGGGTAGTTTTCAATAATATTCGGTTAGTATACTCGTATGCTCTTCAGAGTGAGATATTCAAGTTCGTTTATACTTTTGTTCACCTCTATGTATCAGTTAGACAAGGAAATTCGGAGCTCCGTTGTCTCTTGAAAGATTGATAGTTGTTATTCTATTATGCCCTTCTAAGCAAAACGCAAACATTTCCACCATCACGCTGCCGCTAGTTGTCTTTTCCACGCGTCTTATCTAGGCAGGAAAAAGCCGAAAATGTAAATCGGCTTTCAACGTCGCTCTGCGAATCCATGGAAATGCTGAGAAACGGCTGAAACGTGAAGGATTTCCTGTTTTATTTATTAACCGGAATTAAATTCTCAGTTGAATAAGATGATAAAATATTCATACGATTTATCAAGAGTGTAAACGGAAAGGTCGTTGTTGGAAGGGATCAAAGCCTTTGTATTTGTTCGGCAGGGGACAGTATTTACGGCAAAAGGCAGTTTATTTTGTGTCCGTGCCACCTGAAAAAACTTCTTGTATGAAATATATATGGTTCAATCTAAGGAAAGGTCGAATAAGTTTAGAGTCCTTGTTTTACTACGACAAAGTCAGGAGTTTCTTGGAAGGTAAGGAATACCTTGAGAACTTTGTGTTCTCATACAAAAATGCAGTCGACCATGCTTTTGACTATCCTGCGACCATCTTGTCCTTGGCGATCTCCAAAAGCCTGATTAAATCCGGAAATACAAGGTCAATAAAGCATCCTACAGTAGTAGTTTTTCAAATTACACTTGAGTCTCCTTAATTTGCAGGATATTTTCAAAATGACTTTTCATCTCCAATCAAAAGTTTGCATACAGCAAGAGGTAACATATTCTGGAGTATGGTCTGCCTAAAAATAAACGTGTGAAAGTAAATACTTTAAACTAATATTGGGTGAACAAATCCTGGCTGCATGTTATTATTTATTCTAACACTGACAGCCTTTTCTTTGAAAGATAATATAAGTTCCAGAACAGCATTTACAGTAAAGACCAAGATATGTATACTAAGTGACATATAAATCCGAACACCCAGTTTAAATGGTTTTATTTTAATAAAATTTTGTATAAGTACTTAATGAAGCATAATAAGTAAATGATAAAAATTTCAAAATGATTGCACTGCTTTAAAGCCCTTTGACCTTTAATAATGTGTGGATGCACCCTGATGTGCTACGCATTCTCCAACGCGCCTAGGCATGCTTCTGATCAGGTGGTCAATGTCCTCCTGTGGTATCTCATTCCAGGCAACCACCAACTCCTCTCGAAGTGCTTCTAGAGTCTGAGGAGGACGTTGCAAATTGAGCAATATCCTACCCATCATATCCCACACGTGCTCAATTGGGGATAAGTCGGGAGATCTTGGTGACCATGGTAACAATGTGACATCATTATGTTGAAAGAAGTCTATTGTGACTCTTGCAACATGTGGTCGGGCATTATCTTGTTGGAAAGTTGGATCTGCCAGGGTGTCAAGATAGGGTAAAAGATGGGGTTCTAGAACTTCGTGGATATAACGCTGCGCGTTCATGTTACCTCTGATGAAGATTAAAGGTGACCTGGAATCATCAGCTATAGCACACCAAACCATAACTCCAACAGTGGGATAAACATGTCCTTCAACAAAAACTGTGGGTTCCTCCTTTCACCACGTCGCCTTCTAACCCTGGCACGACCATCGTGCATGCCTAAACAAAATCGAGACTTGTCACTAAAGACAATACTGTTCCATTCCTGATCCCAGAGTGGCCGTTGTCTGCACCACTCAAGGCGATTACGTCGGTGTTCTCGAGTTAAAGGGAGGACCCAGTGTGGCCGGTATGAAAACAAGCCAAAACTTCTCATTCGTCGGTAAACACTTCGCATGCCAATAGGTCTTCCGTGTTCTGCAAACCATTTATTTGCAATGGACCTGGTAGTGGAGAAACGGTCCCTTAAGGCCAATAATCTTAGTCGGCGATCTTCACGGTCTGTTGTTCTACGGCGGCGTCCAGTGCCCCTTGCGCTTTGCGTACGGCCTTCTCGAAGCCATGCCTGACAACACCTAACCACAGTGTCTACACTTCTTTGCACTCTAACTGCAATTGCCCGAAAAGAAAGTCCAGCTTCCCGAAGTCCCACTATACGGCCCCTATCAAACTCACTAAGTTGACGAAATCGTACAGGTCTCCGTACTCTAGGCATCGTAACCGATCGTAAAGGATGTCAAGAACCAAAATCCGCCAACGTTGATTCTTTACTGCGGCTGAAATATTCATTTTTAGAGCGTTAGTGAATTAAAAAAAAGCAGTATAAAAACCGGAATGTCCAACTGATAAGGCTGAACATTTTTTCACTTGTTATTTACAGTAAGATAAATACATTCACCAACTTTTATTAAAATAAAACCATTTAAACTGGGTGTTCGGATTTATATGTCACTTAGTATATTTGAATCGACACGATCTAATGATTAAATAAAGTAAATGCTTCAGTTTGAGAAAGAAAGATTATTTTCTATGTTATACTATAACGCCAACAGGAGTTTCTTGAAAAGTTACTATTTTTCTTCCATCTTAGATGACCTTACCACTTTATAGTGACAGAGGTGTTGTAAGACATCAAAGACCGAACCGTTATTGATCTTCTGCCCTCTTGTTAGCTCTGGGTGGTATTTTTTAAATCAATGGGAAGACTTGTATACGAAAATGAACACCACTGTCATAGAACATTGCAACAGTTCAACATATATCGATAGAATATTTTCTATAGAAGGCTATATTATCTATTTTAAACAACTTGGGTAGTATACTAAGTGACATTACAGGTTTTACACCTAGAAAAAATAATTTCTTCAGCCTGTCTTATTTTTTCAACATAAGACTGAGGCAACAATGTCAACGTTTTGTCTTTGTTTTTGTTCACCTTTGTTAAAATGTTATCTCTTAGTTTTTTCTGGACGTAATACTTCTAGTGTCACTGAGTATATACTCGTATTCACTATGAAAGTATAAGCCTACCACCATAAGGGCATAAAAACTGAAGTACTTCTGGTCGGTGCGGTAGCTCAAGTTTCATCTGAGTTAGACATTTACTCTCTTGTGTTACTTTACTTATTCCAATCTCAGTTTGACTGGTGATGCTGCTCATTATCTAAGGTCTAGACCTGGTTAGAACCTTTGATTCCCAGTAGGTAGCGTCACTAGTCACGGCTTTTGGATTTTTTTATCTTAATTTTGCGACTTTCGTTGTACCAGTTCAAATGACTTACTTATTCAATATAAAATCACAAATATCTATGTTCAGTAATAAATTACAACAGATTTTCTGTGCATGTCCGCATCGCATTTATTATTAGCTTAATACTAGTGACACTGGACTAAAAATCATCCTGAGAAAGTTGTTGTTGTTTATTATATTATGTAATTTCTAATCTTAAGTCCTTGCGTACTTTATTTTCAAAAAATCGTGCATGTCTGGAAAACAGATACTACCAAATATAGATAGCAAAAAAATTGCTGCTAATAGTACTCGCATTTCCAGCTACATATTTTGGTTAATCATTGTCTGCAAAGTCAATTAGGTGATAGGTTTCCATTCCTCCATTCTCTTTTCAGGAAATCTTGTACATCCAGATAGTTTAGCGACTATCAGGTAATCAGATAAATTCGTGCGGTTTTAGTAGAAAAATATAAATTTTCATTGAGAAACAATAAGACACTATTTATTCGTCGAAGTAATAACCATCACATTCATTGACCTTTTGTCAACGTGGAACCAACTTTTGTATCCCGATATTGTGGAACTCCCTGGATTTGGAGTCAAAAAATTGGCGGACTGCATTTATTACACCATCTTGAGTTGTGAACTGTCGGTGCCTCATACAGTTGTGAAGAGACAAAAAAAGGTGATAATCACTGGGCGAAATGTCGGGAGAATATGGCGGGTGCGTTAACGTTTCCCAGCCGAGTTCAGAAACACACAACAACACCTTGTTTGGGTGCAAGGAAGCCTTGGGCGTGTGTGGTACCAAATCAGTAAGCGACAACCAATGATCAGAACGCTTGTAATTTAAATACAAGATCCATTTTTCGTCGCAGGTTAATAACCGATTAAGAAATGGTTCATTAGCGTTGCGTGAAATGTCATGCTGAACAAATGGTAAGACGACTTAGATTGTTATCATTTGTCAGATGATGTGAGACCCATTTGCTTAACTTCCACGTCTTTCCTAGCTGATGAAGTTGCAAACGAATAGTTTCAGGACTCACTCTGAACATTTGTGGAAGTTCTTGGCACGTTGTCCTGGAATTTGCGACCACAACCTGTCGAAGATCCTCGTTGTTCATGATTTTTGGTCTCCCTGAGCGCGGTTCATCGCTAAAACTGAGATCTCCCGAAGAAAATTTTTTTAACCACTTCTGTGTTGTTCGATCACTAACGGCATCATCTCCGAATGCGGTACATATTTTTCGCGCCGCCGCTGCAGCTTTTTTACCAGGTTTGAACTCATACAGTAAACAACTTTGCATAACTGTTTCATTCGTCGCCATTTTCAATTATTAAAACTAGGTATGTAACAATTTTCAGCAACTTTTTATGTATGTACATACTAAAGTGCACAATAGGTAACAAACAATCGCTATCGATCAACAACATCCATGGCAATGTGCGATATACAGCAACCGCACGAACTTATTTGATGTTAGTACAAATTGAAACTAGAATAGGTGACGGTGCAAGGCTTCGATAGTACTGTTCTGCACGAAAATCCTCTCCGCCAAACAAATACGTAATTTCGATAAGTTCTACATTTTTAAGCCTTACACGGACCTTTCAATTGTGGTATCACGTGACGGAGCTCAGAGAGTACCGACAACATGCTTTAAACAGGTGTAAGAATGTACCTCTGTGTGATATTTATCTTTCTAATGAGGTACGACGTTGCCAAGTCTACGTTTTATCTTAGTCTAGGGAAAGTATGTACAAGCTGGCAACACCACATGTTAGAGTATCTGAGAATATCCCTCATCTACAAAGTTTCAGCCCCCTAGGGCTTGAAATAAAGGAGATACCCATTGAACGCCATGTAATTCCAGATTTCACCGTACCCTTATAGTCGTCGGATAGTTGAATGGCCCCTGTATACAAAAATCGTTTCCGATCTCTTGACTCCCGCTGTTTCTAGAAGCCACCGGATGTTCAAAATGGGTATAAAGGGTGCTAAGGAAATAATATTCGTAACTTTAAGAGGTGATTCCTTGTGTTATTCTATGCAAAAAAGTTCATTATACAGGGTGTCCGCAAAGTTGGGGTTGTCCTTTTCAGAAACAACTACCCTTAAAATAACAAAGGTAATGTGTAGTGAAACGAGGGCGACCAAGTAAAAAAAATAAAGGAGAAAGTACTCACTCTCCAGTTGACCAGAAGGGCTAAGTACGTCTCTGCCCGAAATCATACCGCTCCAACAGAAAATGAAATCAGCTGATGCGCTACCGAGCAGACGCAGGCGGTGGTGCAGACCACGAACAGAGGTAACAAATATGACGGCGTTGCCGCGTTTTCAGTTTTTAGGTAAACGTACTTTATAGGTATTGTTCGAAGTTATCGCCGTTTGATTAAAAAACACAGGTGCGTGCACGACGTAGTCAAGCATCGGTGCAAGCTTTGAGAATGGAGCCCCTCCCCCGAATGAAAGCACCAGCTTGTTCAATTCTGAGACGAAGTTCGTCAACCGTATACACTTCAGTTTTGTACACTAAGCGTTTCATTTCTCCCCAAACAAAAAAATCACATGGTTTTAAATCTGGAGATCGCGGAGGCCACGCTACGGGTCCATTAGGTCCGATCCACCTATTCGGAAATAATTCATTCAAAAACTCACGCACTTCACGTCTAAAATGGGGCGGTGCACCATCGTGCAGAAACCACATTGATTGTTTTACACTTAATGGCACATCTTTTAACCAGGAAGGCAAAATGTTGCGTAAAAAGTCTAGGTATTGCATCCCGTCCAATCGATTTGGGAGAATAAATGGTCCAATGAGCATACCGTTCACCATGCCAGCCCAAACATTCCCCGAAAATGTTTGTTGAAAATGTGCCCGACGGACAGCGTGCGGATTTTCTACTGACCAAACATGAGTGTTGCGAAAGTTATTCACCCCATTACGCGTGAACGTAGATTCGTCTGTCACCAATATGCACTCCAAAAAGTCCGGATTATTGTCATGTTGATGCAACAACCACTCACAAAACCGCACTCTTGCTGGAAAATCGTCAGGTTGAAGGGCTTGTACACGTTGGACGTGAAACGGATACAGCCCCTCTTCACGCAGCGTTTGCCACACTTTAGTTTTTGATACTTGCACTTCTCTAGCCACGTCTCTAGTGCTTGTTGAGGGATTCTCGTCTACGGATTCAGTAGTTCTTCCTCAACTTGCACCATTCTTGGTGGTCTAGGCCTCCCGCTGTGCCCACCTCGAAATTCCTCCAAATGGCCCGTATCCCTGACTCTCTGGACCAGGTACACAATTCTGCGGGGCCTTGGATGATGTCGTCTATGGAAAAGATCTGCATACACTCGCGAAGCCTCTGTAGCATTTTGAAGACATTCGCTATAAATTAACAACATATCAACGAGTTCATTATTGGTGTATGAGTGTGCCATTATTATTTTTTTTTAAACGCAATCGATTATACGGGTTCGTTTACCTCTACACGCGTGACCGTAACCATTGGTTGAAGGTTGCATACTGACCTGACACACTGACCCCGACCCAGTTCGGTCGTCTGGTTGAGCCAGTGACCTTGTACCACTCGGTGATGTCGCGGGTCGCGGCTACAGGACGGTATTCAGATATTTTTGATGTTGCAGAGCCCTTTATCTCGGTTCCCTTAAGACATTGGTGTATATGGTACTAAGAAAAATTGCTTATGTTTTCAAGATCTACACGTCGTGTAAAGGAAAACCCCAACATTGCGGACACCCTGTAACTTATGTCCGAAAATCAATCGTTTTCGACGAAAGTAAATAATGAAATTTGCTCAAACATTTGGCAACACTGCAACGTAACCGCGATACGAGCGCACGACGACCGCAACTGATTCATCGAATTGTTTACGTCTGTATGATATTTTTGTCGAAAATATGCCTTGAATTATCGAATATTTTTACGGAATTTTTGTGACTAATATTTTTTATTTAATAACGCTTTCAATACAATACATTTACTTACAAAAATGACAAAAATTACCGATACGTGGCGATACACACCACCAATTCTCACGATTATCAGTCACTTAGCGAAACGATGCAATGCTCGAAAAAAGATAAAACCAACATCCGTAAATCACATAAAGTTACAGTTAAATGTGTTAGTAATCACAACACGCGATGATACATGCAGTGCAGGCTGAGTAAGACATTGCCAGTTGTGTGAGGGATTTTGTTTGTCTGTTTTTCTTCGGAAAATTGTATTTAATAAGCAAGAAAATTATTTTGTTAGAGACAGTTAATTAATAAATATTGATACATTTTACGCTACCAGGCATATGAATTTAAAATATTAAGGTGCAAAAGTAATTCATTTCATAACTAAAAAGAAATAAGTTCAGCATTTTTTTGCTCCAAAATGGTTGATTCTTGGAAATAGGTTATAATGAACTTTTTTGTTTAGAATAATGCAAGGAATCACCTCTCAAAGTTACGAATATTATTACCCTAACACTCTGTATAAGCAGCCAGCAGCTTGTCGGAGGATCATCATAACAGTATTCAGCAGTGGATATATGAGCGAAGCAATGCCGTTGCGATCCTGTGTAAACCATCCGATCAGTTTCTGTTATATTTATGGTCTGATGACACTGAAAGCTCAACGAAGGTCCTTAAGCCAATTGTAAGAATAGCCGACGAGTTATACTTCGGGTTCCAAGTTGCCGATCAAGACAAAACTTGGGCTCCCAAAACATGCTGCCATACTAGCTCAAAATAATGTATCCTAATATCCCCTCAATCAGTAGACCTGTACCTCATGACTCTTCTAACATACTTTTATATCTCAAGAAGAGCTCAAGAAGAGTTCGTGATACAGATCTTCCCAAAAGAAAAGCACAACTACTTGGATCCCGTTTACAACAATGGAACCTTTCACAAACAGGTGTGAAAATTTACACGATTCGGAACAGGCAGTCTATGCTAGCCGTATATCAGGAGGGACAAAAAGACATATATCGAAAATTTGGCAAATGAAAATGATTAAAAAAAAATTGTGGAAGTCTCTCAGACAACTTGATATAAATTTTCGTAGTACACCAACCCTTCCGGCAAGTTTTAATGACCCTACCAAAATTAATGATTATTTTATGTCTATAGCAACAAACCTGTTGATTCACTAGTTTGCGAAAACTATTTCAAAAATAAATTAGCTCATGAATATATTTTTTCATTGAATAAGATTAGTTCAAATGACGTATTACAGGCAATAGGGGCCTAAAATCTGATGCGAAGGGAATTGATGGTATATCCCTGTCAATGACCCTTGCCTCAGTTTTCTTCACATCGTCCAATTTTGACGACTGTTGGAAAAATTTTCCAAACACATGCAACAGTTTATCTAAGCTAAAAAAATGAACCACTGAGTATTGATCCAGACTATCAGTTTATACCATATCCAAAATTTAGAAAAAATATAAATTTCATTACTTACCTAGAAAAATTTTTATACTTCCCGACACTCAATCCGGATTTAGAAAAAATTATTATCAGTACAACATCTGCCCTACTTAATCTGCAAGACAATATTTAAGTGCCGTAGATAAGAAAATGGCACTAGCCCTAATCTCTATAGACTATTCGAAAGCCTTTGACAGCATCAATCATGAATTATTACTTGCTAAATTAAATTACATAGGTCTTGACAGTGTATCCCTTTCATTTTTCGACAGTTACCTTCATCAAAGAACTCAGTGTGTTTTTCTAAATCAAGAAATGTCTCAAGTGACAATAATTCCCTCAGGCGTACCTCAGGGCTCTGTATTGGGACCGCTTCTGTTCCTCATATATACGTTCAACTTAAGCAAAAGTATTGATAATTCTCATGTCCAGTCATTTGCAGACGATACGCAATTGCTTCATTATTTTATCACAATCTACTTATAAATCCACAAAAATCTAAAATGTTATTATTTTGCGCACAAAGAAAAACATACAATGTAACACAGCTCTTGAACATTCAGATAAATAACCAAATCTTGCAATTGTCTGATTCTGCAAAAGTTCTTGGTGTTGTTTTTAATACAAAATTAAGGTTTATTGAACATGTTAAAAGTCTATCTCAGAAAACCTACCTACGGCTGCGCACTCTTATAGCA